CTCTCTCATTCCTCTCGCACACTCCCCGTGTGAGCCTCGCGTCGCGGCTGTCTTTTTGGTGTCCACTAATAAAGGATCGTTATTACTTTCAGACCCCTTGTCTCGCCTCCCAGCTTTTTGTTGCAGCCCAAGAGCCGGGGTGTAACAACTCAGATCTTGTACTTGAGTGAAAGTAGAAGTAGGTACTCAGATCTTGTACTTGAGTAAAAGTACCAGAGTGTAGGAATAATATGTTAAAGTAAAAGTCCTGCATTCAAAATATTACCCAAGTAAAAGTATAAAAGTATTATCAATCTACCTATGTTGCTTTTCTAAATATATTATAATAAAAGTAAGAGACTGTTGGTCGGACATAGAGACATTTTAAAAACGTCACTTTGTGCCAATAACCTGATATGAATCACTGGGCATAGTAATGAGTGGGAACCCTCAAACTAATATCTAACATTTCAGTAACGTCTCAGACGCTCTCAGCTGAACTGCATATGTTGTGATTTCAATCAATGGAGTTATTAGAATAAAGAGCCGTTTGATCTGTAGTCTAATCTGAACAAAGAGCACAGCTGTTTCTCTCTCGCTTCAATTTGGGCTTTCAAATATACTTTTCTCTGACTTTTTATATATTTGTTTTGACATACTATGCCTTCTTTCATTATACAGTGAAGGATATAATTATTCCCTTGATTTTGTAAGTTTGCCCGCTTACAAAGATGTTAACGGTCAATCATTTTAGGTTTATTTTACAAATGAGAGACAGAATATCAAAGAGGATATCCAGAAATGTTACTTTATATAAAATATATTAATTGATTTGCATTTAATTGTATGTAATAAGTATTTGATCCCCTTGAAACCAGTAAGACTTGTACTGTACTGTAGACTGTTTACTATTTTATTAGCATGTCTTTTCCTATTGTCCACATACTGTACTATGAGTTTGTTAATATACATAATTATACTATGTTGGTTTTCATGATATTTTCAACATATTTTACTATGACTTTTTTAATATATATCAACATGCTATGCTTTGACTTTTTCACATTTTCGACACACATGACCTATCACTTAATGATACTGTTTTACCTACTATACTAAGTATTTTTTGACCTACTATACTAAGTATTTCTTGACCTACTATACTAAGTATTTTTTGACGTACTATACTAAGTAT